CACACACACACACACACACACACACACACACACACACACACACACACACACTGAACAGAAACGCATGATGATGACAGGGATGATGATGATGAAGCTGACGGCAAATGGCTTCCAAAAAGTAAACTACCAGGAAAAAAAACTTAAACAGGAAAAAAATGCCAAAATATGACAACAATTAAACCACCAGTACCTTTTCAATATGTCGGCCGCGGGCACTGCGTGCCGCCCCGAAAATGAAGAGAGGCCGCCGATTTGATTTATCGGCGGCCGCCCCTCCTTTCCAGGCCAGCGCGTTAACCGGCTACCCGGCGTGCTTCTGAAAAAATAGCTGGGAAAGGAACTGGTGGTTTAAAGGCGCATTCAATTTGCGGGGTCTGCAAGGGGAGGAAGAAACTAAAATTTGGACATCTCCATTGGACAGAAGTTTGATGAAGAGGACAAATGAGCATGCTCGACATTGCTCTCAAATAACTGCTTGCTCTCAAATAACTGCTTGACACTGGCTGACAGTGTATCAATGGAGGCGAGAGACTGATACTCCTCCATTCTGTGTGGGCAACCAGCATTCAATCTTGCGGTTTGGCCTTTGCAATGCATCGATCCTACCCTTTATCATACACCTGAAGGCCTTGTTATGCATGACCTCTTTCGGCGGGTTGCTGCACCCCGCAAGGGTTTTTGGGTTCGAAACCTTCAAACTCTTCACCCCGTCGGTTTCAATGCAGTCCTTCCAATGGTGACACTTTCGCCCTCATCGTTGGACACAAATGGGTCCTCGACTCCTCGTCCCTTTTCTCCTCATCCCCCATGGCCTCCTCATGCCTCAGCTCCTCCTGGTCCCCTCCTACCACATCTATTGCTACTCCATCCGTTCCTGCACCCGCTGAGAAGGCGGCACACAGTCAGCGATGATTCCGCATCCTTTTCAATCAGTACCTCAACACGAAGGTCAATGGCGACTGTATCTTCGAACGACTTCCTCCCACCACTTGTCGGACTCCTCGGATTCGTCCTCGTGGTTAACTTCCGCGTGTTCCGCAGGATTCCCATTTGCTAATTTCACCGGAGACCCCTGCATGCTCGCGACATTCCAGACATGCACACAACAATTCGTTACGTTAACCATGACTTCTCCAAGAAGGGAGAAACACTCTGAAACTTATTACCTTTCAAACTAGGCTGCCAGAGTGGCCCATTACCACTGGCCCGGCCGGGCCAAAAAACATTAACAGGTTCAGCCTCCTGATGAGTCGGTGAAACTCCGACGAAACAGTTTGTCACAGCCCCTCGTTTGTTGTCCTCTTCTCTCTCTCTGCCTACGGTTTTACCGGGCAGTTCTGTTTGTGACGATATATAT